TTTCAAACCTGAGACCTTTGCTAGGGTCATGGACCTTTATATCTGATAAAGGTCACCCTTATTAGTATTCTTTATATAAAGAATACTRATAAGGAGTGTTTTATCAGATATAAAGGTCCATGCATGTGACCAAATAGGCTCATTCTATTGGCCTAGTAGCTCATTAATTATGTATGAGTTTTTTAAGGGGATATAATCAATATGTAAATTAGAACTCCATGCTGTCCAATCTTATTAGGAGATAATTAGACTAAAAAAAATCCTCTGACTGAAAAATTGTACTCAGTCTATGGTCTTGTCTAATTTTGGCAGTCCACCTTGTCCAATTATTTTAATTTGACAAGTTGGAGTTTTATTACATATAAAAATAATTAATAATTATTATAGGCTATAGCATTCAATCTTAAGTGGAACTCCCTTTGCAGGAAGGAATGTTTCAAGAGATTTATAAATTGTAGCACATGGGTAATATGATGATATTGCCCACCCTTTCAAGTTTCATAATCAAAACATGTGGGACTGGTTGTACGAAGAGTAGATAACGTTATCAATTCCATGAGNTTGATATAAAAGCTTTTATAAATGTGGCCAGTACACAATATATAATACAGATATACAGTTTAGCAACAAAAAATATAGCAATGTTTACTTACCTGTCATCTACGAGGGTTGTGCAGAGCAAATGGGATATGAAAAAAAAATGTTTTTAATGCACATTCTGAACTAAACTTTGTGTTACATTCAAGACATCACAGTGTATAAAATAAAGTCTACCTCGAGATCAACCCAAACAATTCGATCTTTTGCCATATTRGTGTTTTTAGAATATCGMGAAAGCTGATGCAAAGCACGAGGAGTATATTTGTTCKGAAAAAACTTCGTTAACTCTCTTAATCTAAACAATCTATACATTTGRAATCTCCAGCACAAAAAAGTAAGCTTTTAACTAGGCGTTACTAAYATGAACGAGAAAAGACTGTGCACTAACTTTTCCAGGCCTACTCGGATGATGACAAAGTTTTCCAAAACATTCCGTGGATTTTTGCACCATTATTCGTAGGAGACCTTTCAAAATGAWTACRAAAACGGATTCTGTTTGAACTCTGAGCTTGTAGCTTAATTTGCTATGTCCACGGAACTATATTCACCGCGATCGTATAATCCAGCGACTCGGGTATACGGTTCGACKTTGAGCTGCTCAAGTTCCGAAGCGTCTTCGCGCCTTGCTGCAAGACTCGAGCGATCAGAATACAAGAGATCTCGGGCAAAACAGCGAGTAAGCAGCTCTTCTAGGAACCACAGTAGACGGAAAGATAGTAGAACAAGTAGAAAAARGAATTCTTCGACAAGGGAAACTCTGACAAAAAGGTAATTTGACGCTGCCAGTCGATGACCACGTTTCATAGCGTGGCGCGCTTTTGCATCGGTCTGTGTCATCTTGAATTTCCCTGATGACTTCTTCGCAAATGATTGTCAAAAGAAAYGTCAGTAATTAATCCCCTCATCAATCGCTGTTCTCAAAAAAGGAGTTTCATATGGCTTTCAAGTGAACATTTAATGCATACATTATATCTCAAGATTCGTGAAATTTGAAGACTATTGTTTTAATTGGCGGCCATGGCTTGGTGTTGTTTTAATAGCTTTTGATTGGCTTCTTCTATTGATCGTCAATTGTTTATRATTCAAGCAATCATAGATGTCTTCCCTGTAGCCTCATACAGATTTGTTTATGGCTTGATCCCGAAGTATTTCTAAACTATTCTATCATTGTTTTTGCCATGTGTCTGATGCTAATTGCTATTGTATTCCCACCTAAGAACGGCTGCGAGGAGACTACGGTTAATATTGCTAGTTTTTGTTGTGACTAAGWTAATAATTTCATTGATTCCTAACCTTTCCGCTAGTATTGTTAAGGGTAGACTACTAGAAAACCCTGGAAGGTGTTACGCTTTGAAAAAATATACCTTTCCAGTTTTTCTTCATTAAAAAATAATCAGTAGCCTAAAAAGTCGGGTAACAAGAGCTTTTGTGTGAGAGATCCAATCAAAATATRTAGCTYGATTAGTCTGCATGGTTGCCATACATGGTTTCCTAAATTTGTTTAGGAAAATAATTATCTGTACGATGAATACTTAATGATCAACTAGAGAAATTGATATCAAATAGATCTGGATTTCATACATACCTTTTTAAGGTTCTTTCATTACAAGCACCATAATGTCTATTTCATTTGTTCTCTAGTGAAGGAGATGGTGTGACTTCAGTTTGGGAAGTATACAGACAAAATCCATACTACTACAGTGAYAGAGTTCCTGAAGGAAGTTCTGAAAAAAGGGAACATCGCAATACATGGTATGGCAAGCCYAACAGCACTGGTAGTCAGCTGTCTGAACGCAGACCACAAAGTATTCACATTGGCTCTTCCGAATATAMCAATCATGAATACCAGCCTTGGCTGTCACGGAAACAAACAGAAAGGAATGTGTTTGATCACAGTTTAARTGGAAACAACTTTGAGGGAAGTAATGAAGCAGATACGCAGAAATCAAACTACAGAACAAGTTTTTCACCTTCATACAAAGATAGGCAAGACTTYACAGAAATTCAAGCAGACTTTAGTCTTGATAGAAAAGGAATGTACATTTCAAGATCTTTATCTTCGAGTTTTAGTTCCTATGTWGGCTCRTCTGATGAGAAGGAGGATTCACAAGGCATATATTCAGCATATGATGTTGCTAGTAGRTCGCCATATGAGTCCATGGTCAGTCGACGGTACAGTCAGTCAAGTCTTAGTTCTTCAAATGCATCATGGCATCAACACCAAGGCCCAACACAYGCCTACAATGTGAGAGATATCCCACCGTTACTAGACCCATTAACATCAAAACACCATGAAAAGTCACACACGAGAAAGTCCTCTTCTAACTACAGGGAAATTCAAGGAGAGTTTCAAGCAATAAAAGAGTCTGTGCCACCTGCTGTACTACCAAAACCTGGAAAATTTAGTTCTAGTTACAATATACAACTACATGCATCCAAACCCAAAGAGTCACCCAATTGGGGTCCTAAGACAAATAGAGTCAACTTAAATACATCTAAAGGTGTTGATCAAACTGAYAATAAAGGAGCAACTGTACGTGAAATAGCAAGGAAGTTTACTCCGGCCAGTGTACGGCATATATCATCAGTRTGCAACTCACAAGAAGAAGACAGAATTATTAAGGCAGAAATATCTCCTTCACTTGAAAAGAGTTATAATGAGTCTTCTCCACCAAGAGGTACTGATGACAAGAACAAAGGAGTTGTCATGAGACAGAAAGAACCAAGTAACAAAACTCCTGAAGAGCTTGCATCACATAGACTAAGTCTACAAGAACTTATACAACTCCATGAAGAGCAAATAGCTATACAAGCAAAAAGTGCCAARACCAATTTGACTCATGTTTATTTGAAACGATCACCAGATGTTTCTCCATCAAGATCAACAGCMTTTGATGGCAARGTTAATAAAATTACTCCCCAGAAYGAAAATGCAAAGGTCCCTGTTGGAAATTCAGAAATAATGAGAGATTTGCAAGATGATGATAATCAGAAATCAACTTCAGAAGCACAGGATAAACATGGTGATTATGAAGTGCGTGAAGTAGTTGTATCACAGAGTTCTCCATTCAAAGTCATTGAAYTGACTGACAAAGTAAGTAACACACCAAAAGGAAGAGCCTCTCGACTTAAACGTCATCGYACTATTGGTATCGTAGGCTATCGGCACCAGATCGATAGAACATCAGAAGAAAAAGTTGAAACAAAGCTTAAAAGACACACAACTGTTGGGATTGTAAGTGATTTTACAGACAGTTCTGAACTTTTAACAAAGKCAAAAGAACTTCTTCAAACAGAAGACCAAAATGTCTCTTCATTAAGGAATGCAGATACTAACCGTGTTAGTCCTGTTGACAATACTATAAAGCAAGATAATAGCAAGAAGCCTTTTCCTGTGAAAATATTTGACATTGAGTCTAATTTAGACCATGAAAACATACAAGATACAATTCCAAGTAAGGAAATGGTYACAGAACAGCCTATCCAAAGTATTTCCASTGAGCGTTGGTACAGCAAGGCCTTGCCAGACAAGAACTTCCTGGAATGGGACAATGAGAACAMGTTTTCTGCAGTTAATMATGAGTATTCAGAAAAAGCATCTGGAACGACAAGTAGCATAACACTACGCGAGACCCAACAAGATATGGTTCCMTCAMGGTCCATCAGYACTGACAAATATCAAACTACAATTGATGATAGCCCTTCAAGAAATTCTCAGTCTCCTATAGTGGAACTTTTACCAGAAAGAGAGGGCAATCCCACTGCCTACTATAAAAGTAATACTAACTACATCCATTCACATTCAAAGGATGTTCATTTAGACACAATAAATCACAGACACCATCTGAATYCTCCAAAAAGYCATTTGGTTCCCGTAGCACAGGTTTCTCCTGTCAGCCATAGTTTTGGAAGTCAAGAAGTTGATGAACATAAATCAATGCCATTGGCTTCACCACCTCCAGAACCTCCCTCTGCACATGAAATGTATCAAACTCGCCTAGCACTCTGGGACCTGTTGCCTCACAAAGGCAAATCAAATAGTGACTTRAGTGAGCACCAAAGYAATGAARGTCATTTCTCAGTTGGTGAACATTCAAAGCCAAGCAGTCACTCTGTAGAGAAGTTACCTGCTGTCAAGTATATTGGYCAAACTCATGATAGAAAACCAGAGCCACAACAAAGCAGGCTTTCCTTAAATTTTGAGAGACTTGACAAAACTGAAGAATACTATATTGGAGTCATAGACACCCTTAAGGCTGAAAACCAAAGATTGAAGGAAAAAAATGAGTCTGAAAAGAGAGAGTTCAAAAGAATGTATGAAGAGCAGAAAAAGGTTGCAAATGCTTATCAAAAGCTTGAAGATCGGTACAGAAGACGTGTCCATGAGCTGCAAGATGCATTGGCCAGTTGTACTTGTCAAGGGAGCTTGATTGCTAAAGAAAATGACCTCAAGTCATCTCATTTAAAGTAAGTTTACCCAAATATATCAATGCAATCCTACTTTCAACCTCAAATTTATGATAATATGCAGGGTTTTGATGTAGATTTGTTATGTTTACAAATGTAAATAATGTAAACAAATTAATGGTAACCAAAATCTATCTAATTTCAGCCAAAGAAGGGAAAAAGAGAGTCACACTAGCAAGCTACAGTCAGGGAAAAGTGGCATGCGTATGTTTGAAGAGTTGGAAGAATGGTTATCAGAGCAATCAAAGAATTCAAAGGCTCCCAAAGTCAATGGTACAAGCAGAGATAGCCTCATTAGCTCATCTTCTGATCTGACAGGAACAGGATGGGATGATCACTGTGACATGTTGGAYGGCGATATTGATGAAGTTAATGGAACACATGTCTAAACAAACARCACAAAGAAACTGAAATATTATGAATTATTTCTGGTCATGAATGAGGTTTCATCAAGAACCCATGAGTAAACTACTGTTGAAGGGTGATWACAAGTCCACAAGAGTTTGAATTGACTTGCACATTTTATACCTACATTGTACTTATAAGTTGACTCAACTAAAATCGCAAACTAGTTATAAAACACTTTTCTAGGGATTTTATCATAAAAAAAAATGAGAAAAAGATAATATTTATTGGTAAAACAAAGGACAAAAATAATTAATTTAGCAAACAGTTATTTGTTCTATTGAAATAAACCAACATTTATATAATATCCACTCAAAGACAAGTTTTTGTCAGTGGTAGGATATCCTTACAATATTCAATACGCTATCACCAATATGCTTTATAATGGTCAGTGTAGTTTTATTCTCTTTGGCTCAATGTTTTGWTCTCTGCTAAATTCTCATTAGAATTATAATACCAATTAGTATTTGTCTCAAGGATTAAGCACACTAGTCTAGTTTCCTATCTTTAGTTTAAAAAAGGTACCGTATATCCTTTATATCAGAGTTATATGTACTAGAGTGAGGAAATCAATCTCATAAAGMAATATGAAATAGTCAAGGTGTAATGTTCCAATAGATAATTCTCAGTCATATTGTCTTCAATATTAACACCCTCACTCTAGTATACTAATAATCCTACATAAATAAAGAGAAAAAAGATTATTTTTATCAAATAATATTAMGTGCATGAAGATTATTTTTAGATGTATTAGAGCATATTATACAAGGGTGTAAAGTTATAGTTTGTGTATATACAAAAATATATTGAACATCTTCAGGTGTGTGCATTAATGATTGTTTCAACAGAAAGAGWATGAAAACCCAAATAACAAAGCACCTCAGTTGTTGATAGAAATATTACACAAAACACTAGCCACTTGATTTACCAACTTTGTTCAAAAGGCCATACTTCAGGCTGCACTTGCAAGCTTTGTGTCAAACTTCTGGGCTACATTCAGAATTCAAATATCACAAATACCACCAAAAAAAACCCTTGGTATTTCTAGATGCATATTGTCATTGTTCTAGTGAAGTAATTTTAACAAGTTTAGAATGAATTATCTGAGTTTGTTGATTTGGATCTTTACACACTGTCACCAACTGTGGGACCATCATCTCATCATTTTGAGGACTATAGTTAACTATAGTGATCCCAAGACCCCTAGAGCTATGCTGGCAGTCACCGTGAACTCCTTGTAGGGTCACCAAGGCTGGACAGGTAGCTCCATAGGCCGCCCAACTATTGCTTGAGAGAAAGAAAACAAGGCTTGTACACACTTTTTACATACTCCTTTTATGCTGGTACTGTTATCAGGGCACGCTTTTAGCAAATTGTGGGTTACCTGTGGTATTACATCAATGATCCCTTGCCTCGCAGGATCAAAATGATCCCGCTAGGCAAGGGATCATCATGACAATCCTGCAAGGCAAGGGATCATTGACGTAATACCAAAGGTAATCCAAATTTTGCTAAGAGCGTGTGTCAATAACATAACTGCGTGCGTCATGTCAAGGAGCGTGCGCATTTGTTCTCTTCTTCCTTTAAATCAATAGGTGGCCTATAGTTGCTCCTCCAGTTGGGGACTGGTAGGTTACTTCACCATGAATAAAATTTTGTTTCAGAAACCATAAACCAAAGTACTTGAGATATTGGATACAGAAAAATCTTGTTGGAGATCCCCACTCCCGGTTCACATCTACAAACAATCTTGTACAGGTTTCTATCATTGCAAGCCTTGCCAGTCTTGATTTGATGTTTGAAGATTGGCGACTATGACGAAGAATCTGCTTGATATTGGTTTGCTGTTTRTCCTGKCACCTATTCACTAAACTTGCTTGCAATTGAATCCATGAACATGGCCATTTTTATGTCCTTTTGAGAAAGCCCCTTGCAGTCATGTGTTGTTAATGTAACTTGGACATTACCATAAACATTAAACCATTCGGGATGATGATYCATTTTCTCTGCCAWCAATGCCACACGAGACATGAATCCAAAGGCACTATTAAAGTTCTTAAACTGAAACTGATTGTAAATTGCATCTCTTCCTTCAACTTCAGACCAACCCCTAGMTTTCAAGGATGATAACGCATCTTGCCTTTCATTTTCTGTCAGTTTAACAGCTTTTGGTGAGGCATTCTGTTCAATATTGAAATATGCAAATCAAATAATAGAAGCTATCAAATTGTACATACTTTTTCATTTTTTGAATTTTGATCAAAAGGAAGGAGCATTAGCTGTTTGTGCACATTGACTGTATGTAAAATCAGCTGGCTTATAAAAAGAGGGTATGAACAAGATCCTGACACATTGTTGAAACAATACAAAATATAAACAGAGGCATAATATTTTTTGACTATGATATCTTAGAAGTACACACACTTGCCTTGAGACAGGTGTGAAAGAGACGAAAAGTATTCGTTCGGAAAATCCTAAAACCTGTYATGTGCTGAGCCATTGCTAGTTTTCAAGTGACATAMAGCGCGCGCGGTGTATGCTGGATTACGCCGCTATATCTTCCGGTTGAYCTTCGTAACAAGTTCGTAAAAATCTCGGAAAGAGAATTTCAACATGGCGGACGATGATGAACTTGATGAATTACTCGATAGTAAGTACAATCCCTCGATCTATYTTCTGTATAAATGATAAATATTGTATTTTTTGATACTGGACTTTTATAGGCTTTGCTATCGTCAACAAATTTGCTGTACATTCTATAAAATGTCATATTATGCAACAGTATAATTAAGCTTATAAATATCAGTAAGCTAACTTTTAAATACTCAAGCTTATGCTTAATGTATAAGTTGTTCTTATTCTTAAGGTGCGTTAAGTGATTTCGATAAACCAGCTACTCCTTCAGTTAAAAAGATTGATAAACAATGCCAAAAACAAGACGAAACGTCAGGTACAAAAGACACAAATACAGAAAGTTTGGAGGACAAAACTGCAGAACCAAGTGAAGATGAATTAAGTAAATCAGTCAACCCATCAATCAATCAGTCAATCCATCAATCAGTCAACCTATCAATCAGTCAATCAATTCATAAATCAGTCAATCAATTATTAATCCTTCAGTTAAAAAGATTGATAAACAATGCCAAAAACAAGACGAAACGTCAGGTACAAAAGACACAAATACAGAAAGTTTGGAGGACAAAACTGCAGAACCAAGTGAAGATGAATTAAGTAAAATATTTGCCGCAAGTTTCGCTGAAGCTGCCTCTGACCTAGAGGAAGCAATGAAAAAAATGGGAGGAGCTCAAGATCCTGAATTCATGACGCAATTGACTCAACTTGCAGACTCAGCACAGCAAGCTGCATCAAAAGGTAGTTTTTCCATCTTGATTGACGCAATTGATCCCACAATACCCTGGGAACCAGAGGCTGGATTTACTCGTTTTTGTAGTTTATATACGGCGCGAAGCGCTGTCCTTGAGGCCGAAGGCTGAACCGTGAACCTTCGGCCTCAAGGACTAAACTATAAAAACTATATAAACTACAAGAACGAGTAAATCCAGCCTCTGATTCCCAGGGTAATCCCACAAGTGCTCTCTCTTGAATATTATCAATATCTCACTGTTCTATATCTCTCTGGGTGAAAGAACAGGCTGTCACAGTGATAAAACTGGTATTTGCTTGTAAGCAATATATTTAATTTATTTAATAATTTATTGATTTGGTAAATACATTGAACATTTGCGCTGTTTCCTTTACTCTTTAATGCCTAATATCTTCTTGGAGATGGATCTTAAGGCAAGATAGTGCAGGGGACTGTGAAGGAGAGTATTGTACTATTGTACTTATTTGACCAATAAGGGAGACTTATGG